AAAAAGAAATTTGATCCGCAGTTAAAAAAACTCATAATATAGGTTGACAACAGACACAGTGATATATATTACTGTTCAATTTGATGATTATGATGTCCAGGTAATTAAACCCTCTAACCAATGGGAAAAACTGTAAAAAGTTGTTAATTTCTCTGACTTACACTCAGGTTTTCACCAAAAGCCTTTCAACCCAATCATAATCAATAAGCCAATGAGACTTTATCTAAAGATTTTTTAAATCAAGTACAATCTAAGTCTATTTCAAAAGCTAACTTTAGTTAGATTTAGTTTATTTTAACAACCTAACAACCAAGACACACACTTGAGCTTTACTATTTTTATCTTTTACAAATTATGAAACTTGATGCTTAAGTTGGCTATACATTTTTTGGTTGTGGGGCCCTGAGAGCTGGAGCTTTGGATTGCGGTAGAGTCTTCAGATTTAAACCAAAAGGTAAGCTGAATGGCTGTCTGCAACTGAAGGCAAATGTTGTGAGGACAAGGGACACTGCTGCTGCAGCCAGGAAGAGGGTCTTGGTAGGACACTGGGGACAATGTGTTAAAGGAATAGTACACCCAAAACATGATTAACCTTCATTTTCTACTCACCCCCATGCTGAACAACACTCTGGAGTACTTTTTTGATATCTCAAATTTAATGCATCTGGAGATCTGGGAGGCTTCTTGCTGTCTGCTGACATTCAAATAATGGAGGTCTATTGTGCCCGAGACAGAAAGGTCCATAAAAGTCCACAAAACCGTGTCAATATTCCTCCATACTGCTCGTCCAATGTATTCCAAGTGTCCTGAGTGGGTAGCATCCAGAATTTACTCTAAACAAAGTAATTTAGAATGTTTTTAGAGCATAAACAGTAGTGTATAGTATTTCCTAAAAGCGCGTTCACGAGTCTACGGAAACCGCGGCAGACCAAACCAGACGAAAGTGCGCATTCAGCTCGGCAAAGAACTCCTGCTCTTCCTCAACACTGAAGTCCTCAGACATTTTTCTTTCGTTGTTTCTTTCTTTGCACAGGTAAACAGCACATTTCTTCTTCTACGCTTGCATTATCGGCAGAGCAGACGCTGAATGCGCACTTTCATCTGGTTTGGTCTGCCGGCTTCCGTAGCGTCCTGAACACGCTGGCGCGCGCTTTCAGGAAATCCTATACACTACTGTTTATATGCTCTAAAAACATTCTAAATGACTTCGTTTCGAGTAAATTCTGGATGCTACCCACTCAGGACACTTGGAATACATTGGACGAGCAGTATGGAGGAATATTGACACGTTTTTGTGGACTTTTATGGACCTTTCTGTCTCGGGCACCGTAGACCTCCATTATTTGAATGTCAGCAGACAGCAAGAAGCCTCCCAGATCTCCAGATGCATTTGAGATATCAAAAAAGTACTCCAGAGTGTTGTTCAGCATGGGGGTGAGTAGAAAATGAAGACTAATCATGTTTTGGGTGTACTATTCCTTTAAGCCCTGGTCACACTTGACGATTTAGAAAGCATATGCCTGACATAGGAAAAATCTGGCAAAAAAGCGGGCATACGTTGAATAAGTTATGGGTATGTTGAAGTACACTGAAGCACGCTGGCACACGTCAACATACAGCGAGTATGACAATTTCCCGACATATGCCAGCGTATGCTCATACATGGCGTCTAGCTTATCCAACTCCTATGAGTAACTTGTGCATAACTTATGCGTAACTTACCAAGAACTTATCTCCAACGCATATCGACGTATTTGACAACTGCTGAACACGTTTCTAACGTACAGCTACTGTATAATGACAGATTAGCAGCGTTTTGGCATAAATGGTGGTTCACAGGAGGAAACCGTCAGTTCTCCTCCAAACTTCATCCCCATCATAGGGTGAGCGAGAAGGTGAGTGTGATGGATCCTCCCACGGCCAACAAACTTCCTAGAAGACATGACACTGAATTTGCTGCGACTGCAAACCTTCTTTCTTTTTCTTTATTTTTTTGGGGGGCAGATGGTAATTAGTAGCTAGGTTAATACGATCAATACAAGGGGGGACGAGCCGGGCGATGGTGGCGCGATCTGGGACGATCAAATAGATCTTTTTATGCAGACTGGGCGCCTGAGAGGAGCAGCTTTAACTGATGCTATGTAATGGCCATGAGATGATGATTGTGCATCGTTTCATGCGCTGCCGTACATAATGCTTATTATGCTAAGTTATGCTCCTAGTGGACATAAGTTCTGGAGTCGTTATGAATACGCTACGTATATACCCAAACTTGAAAAAATACATAGAACGTTTAGCGTATGCCAGCATTGTAGGAGATTCTTGGACATCAGGCATACGCTGTCTAAGCTGGTTTCTGAGCATAAACCAGCCTCAGCAAGGTGTGACAGGGCCCTCAGAGACTGTAGCCCTTGGGGTTGTTGGTCCCCTTTGAACACAGTGAGGCTAGAAAAAGGCCTTTTGCTTATAGTTGTCCTTGGGGACTCGGAGACAGATGATAGGTAATGATATGTACGGTGGAGTGAAGGACTGTTTGCTATTGGTGAAACAAAACTCAGGAAAGGAAGGAATTCTAGATGCGATAGAAATAACTTTTTGGTTGGACTTAGACATTCTGTAAAAAAAAGTCAATGAATCTTGAAAGAAAAATAAATACAGCCAAGCTGTGCATTGTTTTAGGGTGGGGGTTGGACCTAAACAGAGGATATTTCCGGGGGGCGGGAAGAACGATCATTGAGGATCCCCTCACCCCTGCTCTGCAAAACTTGTCCATGTAATCAAGTCTTACAATCTTATATCTATCTCATATCTAAACAAATTGTATTTTTGATCCTCTTCAGAGATTGATGTACTTAGCAAGAGTCTGCCATATAATACATTCTCTTTTTAAAAGATTTTTCTCAAAATAAGTGCAAGAATCTGTCTGTGTAGTAACATAATTGCAACTGGCAAAGCGTATTTCAATCATGATATATATGATAATGATATATATATTCTCAAAATACCAACTCTCCCTTGAAAAAAATAATCATGTCATATTTAGATCAAAAGCATTTGTCTACAGGTGCTGGTCATAAAATTAGAATATCATGAAAAAGTAGATTGATTTCAGTAATTCCATTTAAAAAGTGAAACTTGTATATTATATTCATACATTACATACAAACTCATATATTTCAGATGTTTATTTTGTTTAATTTTGATGATTACAAATGACAACAAATGAAAATCCCAAATTCATCATATCAGAAAATTAGAATATTACTGAAGACCAATAAAAACAAAGGATTTATAGAAATGTTGGCCAACTGAAAAGTATGAACATGAAAAGTATGAGCATGTACAGCACTCAGTATTTAGTTGGGCCTCCTTTGGCCTGTATTACTGCAGCAATGCGGCGTGGCATGGAGTCGATCAGTCTGTGGCACTGCTCAGGTGTTATGATAGCCCAGGTTGCTCTAATAGTGGCTTTTAGCTCTTCTGAATTGTTGGGTCTGGTGTATTGCATCTTCTTCTTCACAATACCCCATAGATTTTCTATGGGGTTAAGGTCAGGAGAGTTTGCTGGCCAATTAAGAACAGGGATACCATGGTCCTTCAACCAGGTACTGGTAGCTTTGGCACTGTGTGCAGGTGCCAAGTCCTGTTGGAAAATGAAATCTGCATCTCCAAAAAGTTGGTCAGCTGCAGGAAGCATGAAGTGCTCTAAAACTTCCTGGTATGTGGCTGCGTTGACCCTGGACCTCAGAAAACACAATGGACCAACACCAGCAGATGACATGGCACCCCAAACCATCACTGACTGTGGAAACTTTACACTGGACTTCAAGCAACGTGGATGAAGTGCCTCTCTTCTTTTCCTCCAGACACTGGGACCTTGATTTCCAAAGGAAATGCAAAATTTACTTTCATCAGAGAACATGACTTTGGACCACTCACCAGCAGTCCAGTCCTGTTTCTCTTTAGCCCAGGCAAGACGCTTCTGACGCTGTCTGTGGTTCAAGAGTGGCTTGACACAAGGAATGCGACAGCAGAAACCCATGTCTTTCATACGTCTGTGTGTGGTGGTTCTTGAAGCACTCACTCCAGCTGCAGTCCACTCTTTGTGAATCTCCCCCACATTTTTGAATGGGTTTTGTTTCACAATCCTCTCCAGGGTGCGGTTATCTCTCTTGCTTGTACACTTTTTTCGACCACATCTTTTCCTTCCCTTCGCCTCTCTATTAATGTGCTTGGACACTGAGCTCTGTGAACAGCCAGCCTCTTTAGCGATGACCTTTTGTGTCTTGCCCTCCTTGTGCAAGGTGTCGATGGTCGTCTTTTGGACAACTGTCAAGTCAGCAGTCTTCCCCATGATTGTGAAGCCTATAGAACTAGACTGAAAGACCATTTAAAGGCTTTTGCAGGTGGTTTGAGTTAATTAGCTGATTAGAGTGTGGCACCAGGGGCCATCAATTTTGAACCTTTTCACAATATTCTAATTTTCTGATATGATGAATTTGAGATTTTCATTTGTTGTCATTTGTAATCATCAAAATTAAACAAAATAAACATCTGAAATATATGAGTTTGTATGTAATGTATGAATATAATATACAAGTTTCACTTTTTAAATGGAATTACTGAAATCAATCTACTTTTTCATGATATTCTAATTTTATGACCAGCACCTGTAATCAAACTCACAGAAAATACAAAAAAAATAAATAAAATCCTATCAATAGAGTGGAAGACAATTCATGACCAAGAAATGTCTCATGTCTTTTAATTTTCAGGAAGTTGGCAACCCTACTTATTAACTGCAATTGCCTGACTAAACTGGCAGATTACTGCACCTATTTTGAGTAGAATCTGCTAGTTTGTATTTCACTCCTAAAATAACATTATACAGATTTTTCCTGCTATATCTGAAAATGTAGAGAAGACTGAGAAGGGTGGCTCCATCACCATGGCAACGGAGATAGATGTAGTTATTACTGGCATGATATGGAGTAGCTTTGTTTTTAGATGATGAAGGTTCTGGGCGTTGTTGTTTCGTCATGGTTGAAATGCGTCTCCATTGCCACATCGAGGATCAGGACAACACAGTGTGAGTGGCAGACAGTTTTTAAGGGATCGCTCTTCTCATCCCTGTTAAGGCCTACTCTGGTGTGTTTGAGGAGAGCTTCCTCAATGATGTCAAACACTGGGTCCAGGAGGTGCAATGTGGTCTTTTTGGCCACAGATAAGAGAGGCCCACTATGTATCACTCTTTCCTTACATTTGTTGTAGTTTTCCAACTGCAGTTGTGTTTTAGTCCTGTTTCTTTAGTTGTCCAAAATGAGCAAGTCACCTCCTTGTAAAATAAAGGTATTAAATGAACAAAAACACAAAAATCAAGACACCGGTAATACATATAATCCAAAATCGAACTTTCTGAAAGACCAAACTGTAGGTTCTCTGTCAGCCATAAACCTTAAGCCCATACATGAAAAGATAAATGTTGGAAATATTCTGCTCAGTGTATAATTAATCTGTATAATATCCGTTTCAGTGTTTGAATTGAATCACTAAAACAAAATAACCTTTTTAGATTTTCTAATCTATTAAGATACACCTATAAAAAGTGCTGCAGCTCACTTTTTACAGTCAACAGTAGCTCTGGAGCTTTTCTCCTAAGACGTTTCCAGGAAAGTCTTTCAACACGTCCAGCTGTTCCTTTTTCTGTAAGAACCCATAATGTGATACATGTTGGGTATAAAGAGAGTTTTAATCTAGTCGTGGACCCAGACCCTAGTGGTTCCACTCTAAAGTGGAGGTCCCACGGTGCAGCAGTGCCAAGTCTTTGGTAGATAGAGAGAAATTTAGTTCTTACCCTCTTTTACATCCAAACATAAAGTTTTTAAGCTTTAGTTCTGGAGGGTTTTTGTTAACCCTCACTGTTTGCTGTCTAACTTTGACAAAGTTGCAGCAGAGTTGTGATGAGCAGTACAGTGATGCATTTGCTGCAGCCTCCATGCCATCTGAAGGCATCATTATGATTCAGCAGACCCTCTTCCACATTGTCTTCCTCTCTGCTGCGATCGTGCCGCTGGCTACTGGACGAACACTGGACCAGGGGCATTTGGTAGGAGCTGGCTCGCTTCTCCGGGCGGTCCGGGCTGGTGCCGTCGCTGGGGCGCTGGCCGTTGTAGAGCAGGTACTGGCCGTGGACGTCCTGCTCCATGCGGAAGAGCTCGTACTCTGTGTGGGGAAGCCGGATGCCCAGCGCCATGCAGCCGTTGGTCACAGTGACGTCCTGTTTGACCCCGACCTGCCATGAGCCCTGAACGCCGCACTCATCGCCTTTGAAGACGTTAAGGAGGGAGGTAGTGGACAGATCCATCGGCGTCACAGTCATGTGGTTCACTGGAAGAGGGCAACACAAGAAAAATCACATTCTTTTTAGAGATGCACCAATTTGATTTATCAGCAGCACCGGAGACTGAAATAGATGAAAGGAAAAATGCAACCTTTAATCTAATCTCTGCACAATTATTTAGTGGGAAAAGAAAAATCTAAACATCTAAAGTTATTTTATTTTACAAAATCGCCGTGGGCAGAATTATTGTTTCTGCCAAGCTGTACTAGTTAATTCACATTAAGGTATTAAAACCAGAACCATCTTACCCTAAATGCACATTTCCGTTTATAAAAAAAAGGGAGTTCAATAATACCAACAGTTAAAGGAATAGTACACCCAAAACATGATTAGCCTTCATTTTCTACTCACCTCCATGCTGAACAACACTCTGGAGTACTTTTTTGATATCTCAAATGCATCTGGAGATCTGGGAGGCTTCTTGCTGTCTGCTGACATTCAAATAATGGAGGTCCATGGCGCCCGAGACAGAAAGGTCCATAAAAGTCCACAAAAACGTGTCAATATTCCTCCATACTGCTCGTCCAATGTAATCCAAGTGTCCTGAGTGGGTAGCATCCAGAATTTACTCGAAACGAAGTCATTTAGAATGTTTTTAGAGCATAAACAGTAGTGTTTAGGATTTCCTAATAGCGCCCCCATGCGCGCTCACGATTCTACGGAAGCCGGCAGACCAAACCGGAAGAAAGTGCGCATTCAGCGTCTGGTCTGCCGATAATGCAAGCGTAGAAGAAGAAATGTGCTGTTTACCTGTGCAAAGAAAGAAACAACGAAAGAAGAATGTCTGAGGACTTCAGTGTTGAGGAAGAGCATGAGTTCTTTGCCGAGCTGAATGCGCTGGTTTGGTCTGCCGGCTTCCGTAGAATCGTGAGCGCGCATGGGGGCGCTATTAGGAAATCCTATACACTACTGTTTAGGCTCTAAAACGTTCTAAATGACTTCGTTTCGAGTAAATTCTGGATGCTACCCACTCAGGACACTTGGATTACATTGGACGAGCAGTATGGAGGAATATTGACAAGTTTTTGTGGAATTTTGTGGACCTTTCTGTCTCGGGCGCCATAGACCTCCATTATTTGAATGTCAGCAGACAGCAAGAAGCCTCCCAGATCTCCAGATGCATTTGAGATATCAAAAAAGTACTCCAGAGTTTTGTTCAGCATGGGGGTGAGTAGAAAATGAAGGCTAATCATGTTTTGGGTGTACTATTCCTTTAAGGCCAAAGTTCTTTAAACTCCGGGCTGAAAATAATCTTTGGATTAGAGTCCTGATTTTAACCTGACGTAGAATCTGATGAGAGCCAAATATTAGGATCATGAAAGGAGACTTTCACACCTTCTAGACTTGGAATGAATAATTTTATAATATTAAATTTTAAAAGTAATGGATAAAAAATGGATACTCCTTTAACAATTGCATTACCTTAGATGCCCGTCACATTTATATTTAGAGACAAACCTCTGACCTTTTGACTGTAGTAAACAAAAAACGACAAACCCCCCCCCCCCAAAAAAAAATCATGATTTTGTGTCATTATGAAACAAAATATAAATTTACAAAACAATCCTATAACATTTGAAAGATTTTGTTTCTGCTTTCCCTGCAAGAGTCTCTGAAAGAAACTTCCACTCAGCTATAAACTACCAAACACTTAACAATCTGGGGAATTTAGAAACCATTCTAAAATGGTAAGAAAAAAGCAACGTTCCAGGGCAAATTAACTTTATTACAAGATTTGAAATAATTGAGGAAATTCTAATTTTATTCTTATTTTATGGATTCTTCAAGAGCTGCTAAACAAATTTCCAGAGGGAGAACTTTATGTAGAATCTTATCAGTCCCTACCCCAATCTGATCAGATGATCCATCTATCAGCTAAAAGCTTCTCATCATACTAATGTTTCAAATTAAAGTAGAGAAAGAAAAAGCCAAAAAAACCTTTAAAGACAAATTCTGTCCCTCCCATCACTCGGGTGGAGGGCAGGCCTCGGCTGTAGCGGCCCTGGGCGAAGATGGTGAAGGAGGGGTGTTTGCAGGCAGGGTCAGAGTAGTGGTAGTAGTGCCCCTCCCAGGTGTGGTTGTTGTCGTAGAAGACGAAGTGGCGCGTGAGAAAGAGGACCTCTGGCCGCACTTCGCAGCGCTGGCTCACCCACTGACCGTACAGGCCCACGGTCAGGTCAGCTCGTGGCGGCAGGATGGGAGGGTGGAACTCGTCCGAGCGGTAGATGATCCGACAGATGATGCAGCTATGGTCGTGGTTCTGAAAACAAAGAGATTATGTGCTGAGTTAAGCTGGAAGAGTCTGTCTGCACATAATGTGACACTTCCAACTTTTTTTTAAACAACGTTTAGTGAGTTTAGCTTCTTATTAAACATTTTATCATAATGAAATAGAGATACCTGTACAGAGAAAATAACAAGATAATTAAAAAGCCGTTTTTGACATTTCAAGTCAGAAATGAAAAGAAACTCTGTTTCCTTTTACAGGCTTGTTTCCAGACGCTTCAAATTCCTGTGTGCCCACTAGGGGGCAGTAATTATTAGAATGTGGAACAAGAAGCCAGGTGAGCTGAGAGCTGGAGATAAAACATCCTTTTGGCTGTAAGATTCTGCAGATGGTATTTTTCTCTTTGCATGCGGCAACAATGCAGAAACAAAAGAGACAAACAATAATTAACTGGGGAAATACTGCACGTTCACCGCATTGGGTAAATAACAGCTAAATGAAATATATATCATTTATCAGTTTTTTTATTTATCTTACATGTACAATCTGCAAAAATAATTTTACAAACAAATGACAAAAACACAAACATGTCCCATAAGGACTCATCATACATCAGTTTCTCTCTCGAGATAACTAGTTGAGTTATCTTGTGTCGCAATGATTTCACAGCCCTATAGAAAATATAGAGTAGAAGTTGGAGGTCAAATAATCCAATTTTAAACTCATTCGAATTATAACTAAAGTCTTGAAGGTAGATTTTAGTTTTACCATCATGTTTTCGGGGAGCAAACATCTTCTGCTTTAAACTGGAACCCTTACAGAGTACAGGGATGAAGATTTACACCAAAAGCAGGACTATCCCAACAGGAGCTTTAGTTTCTTCTCTCGGTATCTTCAGCTTTTTTTTTCCTGGATGCTTTTCCCTTGCAGAACAATTCCTTCATTGTTGAACAACTGATTTAAAATTCTGTTTAGATGTCCTGTCTCTTTAACCATTAAATAAGGCTCATAATGCCGGTAAAGATTCTCAGTCATCCTTACTTTGTCTCACAGTGATTATGGCCTCAACACTACAAGCAGCAGGAGGAACAAAAGGTTACCATGATGCTAAATCTTCAGCATGAACATACTGTTCGAGTAGTATCACATCTGGTGCACAGACAGGACAGCTGTGGCTTTTTATATGCAGAAAAATCTGGACGCTCACTTGTGCTTTTCAAGAAAATATCCTCCAGAGAAAACTCTGATGAGGCCGGTTTGCCTCTGTTTTTGCAGGGTGGGTACGGTTAAATACCGGACCTCCTTAACGTAGTCCCTCTTTTCCCACAAAATCTGTCCTCCAAAGAGTTTTTAAGGAGGAACAAATGAAAATTAAGATATAGGAGGAAATAAATCTGAAGATGAGATATCCCCACTGCAGCTCCATGCCTGGCTTTGGAGTGATCAGTTAATGAGAAAACTGGGATTGAACGGTTGTATGTTTGCAGCTCTGGCTATTTGTACTTTTTTATAAACAGTTGTTCATATAAGCAAAAGCTGTTGCAAGACAAACTATACTTATTAAAAAAAAGAAAACAGATCTAAACAAAAACATGCTTATTTATCAGTCAGAAACAATAATTACTGACTAATAAATAATAAAGCAGATTAGTTGTCTAGTGTTGCCTGTGTTTGTCCCTCAGTTGTTGAACATGCCTGAGGACATGACTAAAACATCCCTATACAGGAACAAAAAATAATACCATAAGGTTTTCTTAAGGCAGCTTGGAGGGAAAATTCAATTCAATTCAATTCAGTTTATTTATATAGCGCCAAATTCACAACACATGTCATCTCAAGGCACTTTACAGTTCAACCAGATCAAATTGATACAAAGTTTTCTATCTAAGGAAAACCAGTTGATTGCATTGACTCATTGACTCAAATACAATCCCCCACACTAAGCATGCTTGTAGCGACAGTGGAGAGGAAAAACTCCCTTTTAACAGGAAGAAACCTCCAGCAGAACCAGGCTCAGTGTGAGCGGCCATCTGCCGAGGCCGACTGGGGTTCAAGGAGACAGAAGCAGAGATACAAAAAGCAGCTGTAAAAGGCGGCCCCGTCCAGGAAACACACAGCCAGGCAGACGAGCTCCAAGGCAGCTCCCATGCCAGAGGACGAAGAAAGCACATCCACTCAGTCACGGTCAGAGAAACAGGACCACACTGGAAAACAGGCCGATCTCCAACATCTATAAACAAGGGTGTTGATAGAAGCAGCACAGCTGATGTTTCTTTCCAGGATGACGTCACAGCCAAACAGGAACAGACGAGGCAAAGCTACTCTGAGGAAAAGCAGAGAGAGCAGAAGGTTAGAGATTGAACTAACAGATTCTGCAGAATAGGAGAACAGAGAGAGAATGAAGCAGAATGATGAAATGGGGGTCCCTATGTCCTCCAGAAGTCTAAGCCTATAGCAGCATAACTATAGAGATAGCTCAGGATAACCTGAGCCACTCTAACTATAAGCTTTATCAAAAAGGAAAGTTTTAAGCCTAGCCTTAAAAGTAGACAGGGTGTCTGCCTCACGGACTAAAACTGGTAGTTGGTTCCACAGGAGAGGAGCCTGATAACTAAAAGATCTGCCTCCCATTCTACTTTTAGAAATTCTAGGAACCACTAGTAAACCTGCAGATTGAGAGCGAAGTGCTCTGTTAGGAACATAAGGAACAATCAGATCTCTGATATAAGATGGAGCTTGGCCATTTAAGGCTTTATATGTGAGAAGGAGGATTTTAAATTCTATTCTTGATTTAACAGGAAGCCAATGAAGAGAAGCCAGGATAGGCGAGATATGATCTCTCTTTTTAATTTTCATTAGAACTCTGGCTGCAGCATTTTGGATCAGCTGAAGGCTTTTAACTACAGTTTGTGGACTTCCTGATAGTAAAGAATTACAATAGTCCAGCCTTGAAGTAACAAATGCATGGACTAGTTTCTCAGCATCACCCCTGGACAGGATATTTCTAATTTTTGCAATGTTCCTCAGATGAAAGAAGGAAATTCTAGAAACCTCCTTGATATGGGACCTAAATGACAGGTCCTGATCAAAAACAACACCAAGATTTTTTACTTTATTATCTGAAATCAGTTTAATCCCATCCAAATGAAGTGACTGGCTAATCAGTTTCTTTTTCAGAGACTCTGGTCCAAAGACTATAACTTCTGTTTTGTCTGCATTCAGAAGCAGAAAGTTAAGAGTCATCCAGGTTTTTATGTCTTCAAGACATGCCTGTAATCTATGTAATGGGTTAGCTTCATCTGGATTTATAGACAGATATAGCTGGGTATCATCAGCATAACAGTGGAAATTAATCCCATGCTGTCTAATAATTCTACCAATTGGGAGCATGTATAAAGTAAAGAGAATTGGTCCTAGCACTGATCCCTGTGGTACTCCACAGGTAACCTTTGAGCGTGTTGAAGATCTATCATTAACATGAACAAACTGAATTCGATCAGATAGATAAGATTTAAACCAGTCTAGTGCTGTTCCTTTAATTCCAACAAAATATTCAAGTCTTTCTAAAAGAATATTATGGTCAACTGTATCAAATGCAGCACTAAGATCCAACAGGACGAGCACAGATACAAGTCCATTATCTGAGGCCATGAGAATATCATTAGTGACTTTCACCAGAGCTGTTTCAGTGCTATGATGAGCTCTAAAGCCAGACTGAAACTCTTCAAAAAGTTCATTATGGTGGAAGTGATCGCAAACTTGTTTGGCAACTACTTTCTCAAGAATTTTGGATAAGAAAGGAAGATTGGATATAGGTCTATAATTGACCAAGTCATCTGGGTCAAGAGACGGTTTCTTAAGCAGAGGTTTAATTACAGCAACCTTAAAAGCTTTAGGTACATATCCCTGTAACAGAGATAGATTAATCACATCTAAAATGGAGGAGGAGATCAAAGGGAATACCTCCTTAAATAACCTGGTTGGAACTGGATCTAACATACAAGTTGAAGGCTTAGATGAAGACAATAATTTTGCTAATTCAGAGAGTTCAACTGGATCAAAGCAGTCTAAACCCAGTTCAGATTCCATGACTACCTCAGGTACAATCGCGGATAGAGGAGTGCTTATGATCTTATTTTTAATAAGATCAATCTTATTTATAAAGAATCCCATAAAGTCATTGCTGCTAAGAGCAGGTGGAATGGACGGTTCAACAGAGCTATGGCTCTGGGTGAGTTTGGCAACTGTATTAAAAAGAAATCTAGGATTATTCTTATTCTCCTCTATTAATGAGGAGAAGTATGCTGCTCTTGCTTTACAAAGGGTCCTCTTATACAGCAGTAAACCATTTTTCCAGACTAGGAAGGACTCTCGCAGGCCTGTGGAGCGATATTTTCTCTCCAGTTTCCTAGCATTTTGCTTCAAAGTACGCAGCTCTGCATTAAACCAAGGAGCAAGCTTTCTATTTTTAACGGTTTTCATTTTCAAAGGAGCTGCGTTGTCTAAGGCAATACGCAGAGAACTAGCAACCCCATCAACAAAATCATCAACCTGTGAAGGGGAATAAGCTAAACTTTTGCACTCTGCAGCACTGCTCAGTGACACAGAGGAGAGAGAAAGTGAAGCAGATTCTTTAAAATTTATAACTGCACTATCTGATAAAGATCTACTAAAATTGAACCTTCTTTTGGGGGAGGAGAACTCTGTTAAAGTAATCCTGAAGGTTATTAGAAAGTGGTCAGAGAGGACAGGGTTGTGAGGAAATACTGTTATTTCTTCACATTCTATGCCGTATGTCAGCACAAGATCCAAAGTATGAAGATGAGAATGCGTGGGACTATTCACATTTTGAACAAAGCCAATAGTGTCTAAGATAGCATTAAAGGCTGCTCTTAAGCTATCGCCTTCAATGTCAGCATGGATGTTAAAATCTCCCACTATGATGACCCTGTCAGTATTTAATACCAAATCAGAAAGGAACTCTGAAAACTCATCTAAAAATTCAGAGTAAGGACCTGGTGGACGATACAAAG